TTTGGGATATCTTGAGATTCCATATGAATTTTAGAAAGGATTTTTCTGTTTCTGCAAAAATCATTGGAATTTTGATAGGGATTGCATTAAATCTGTAGATAAGTTTTGGTAGTATTAATGTCTTTAACAATATGAAGTCTTCCAATCCATGAACACAGAATGTCTTTCCATTTATTTGTGTCTTCATTAATTTCTTTCAATAATTCTTTGTAATGAAAATACAAGTGTATAAGTAAGTCTTTCACCTCCTTGGTTAATTTTATTCCTAGGATTTTATTCTTCTAATGCCATTGTAAGTGGAATTGTTTTCTTAACTCCCTTTTCAGATTGTTCATTGTTAGTATATAGCAACACAATTGATTTTGGGGTATGATTTTGTATCTGGCAACTTGTCTGAATTCACTTAATAGTTCTAATTTAGTTTTTTCATGTTTAGAATATTAAGGGTTTTCTACATAAAAGTTACACCATCTGCAAACATATATAATTTTACTTCTGCCTTTCCAACTGGGGTATCTTTTATTTCTTTTTCTTGCCTAAATGCTCTGTCTAGAACTTCTAATAATATGTTGACTAGAAGTGGGACAAGTGGGCAGTCTTGTCTTGTTCTTGATCTTAGAGAAGTTTTCAGTTTCTCACCATTGTCTTTGATATTATCTCTGGATTTTTCTTAAATGGGCTTTATTATGTTGAGGAAGTTTCCTTCTATTCCTAATTTTCTTGTGTGTTTTTGTCATGAAAGGGTGTTGAATTTGTCAAATGCTTTTTTCTGCATTTTTCAAGACTGTTTTGGGCATTCATCAATTGAAATAATCCTGTAGATTTTTTTTTTAGCATTCTGTTTATTCGGTGTATTTCACCTGATTGATTTTCCTAAGTTAAACCATTCTTGCATTCCAGGAATAAATTCCACTTAGTCATGATTATAATCCTTTTAATGTGCTGTTCAATTCTGTTTGATATAACTTGTTGAGGATATTTGCATCAATATTCATCAAGAATGTTGGTCTGTAGTTTCTTTTTGTAGTGTCTTTATCTGGCTTTGGTATCAGGGTAATGCTGGCCTCAAGGAATGAGTTGGGAAGTGTTCATTCCTCTCCCATTTTCTGTAAGAATTTATGATGAGTAGGTATTATTTTCCTTGACCACCATGTTATGTGTTAGCTTGTAATATTATTCTTCATCACTTGGCTTATTGAGCTTTGACTCCATTCTCCTGTATTTCTGACGCAAATTACTTGCTACAACTACATCACTTCTGGAAATATTGCAATATTTCCAGCAGCTAAAATCTGAACTCCTTTTGCATAGTGATTTGGCTTGTGAAATCCAAACTCTGCTTTTAATGTAAGGAGTATAGAGAGAGTTTGGTTTGTCTGAAGACAAATTGTAAAGAGTAATTGATAAAATTGCAAAGAGTAGAGTAGTGGTTCTTTATCCGATTTATTGTGCCCTTTTAAAATATTTTTAACATCCTTTTTGTTCCTCTGAAATGAATAATATTCATAGGTAAAATATACTCATACTTTAAAAAATTTATATAAATGTGAGGGTAAATAAAAGGAAATAAAAGGAATATAATAACATACACTTCACTATGTAACTTTTAGGTCAAACTTCACTAGAAGACACAGTAAAGAAATAGAGGCTTACAGACCTATAGGTACAATTAAAATAAATGTGAAAGCTACCAACATAGACTGATAAAAATGCAAATTTATTGTACTGACACTAAATACTATTAACACTAGTGCATTGTTGTTGGTAAATACTATTAACACTAGTGCATTGTTGTTGGTATTACAGTGTTTCAGAATGGTGAGGGTTTTTTTTTCTTTAGAATGGTGAGATTTTGTGTGTGTGTGTTCAGCTGTTATTTATTTATTTGTTTGTTTGTTTGTTTGTTTAGGTATCGTTAATCTACAATTACATGAAGAACATTATGTTTACTAAGCTCCCCCCTTCACCAAGTCCCCCTCACATACCCCTTCACAGTCACTGTCCATCAACGTAGTAAGATGCTGTAAAATCACTACTTGTCTTCTCTGTGTTATAGAGCCCGCCCCATACCCCCACCACATTATACATGCTAATTGTAATGTCCCCATTCTTTTTCCTTGCCCTTATCCCTTCCTTCCCACCCATCCTCCCCAGTCCCTTTCCCTTTGGTAACTGTTAGTCCATTCTTGGGTTCTGTGATTCTGCTGCTGTTTTGTTCCTTCACTTTTTCTTTGTTCTTATACGCCACATATGAGTGAAATCATTTGGTACTTGTCTTTCTCCGCCTGGCTTATTTCACTGAACATAATACCCTCTAGCTCCATCCATGTTGTTGCAAATGGTAGGATTTGTTTTCTTCTTATGGCTGAATAATATTCCATTGTGTATATGTACCACATCTTCTTTATCCATTCATCTACCGATGGACACTTAGGTTGCTTCTATTTCTTGGCTATTGTAAACAGTGCTGCGATAAACATAGGGGTGCATCTGTCTTTTTCAAACTGAGCTGCTGCATTCTTAGGGCAAATTCCTAGAAGTGAAATTCCTGGGTCAAATGTTATTTCTATTTTAAGCATTTTGAGGAACCTCCATACTGCTTTCCACAATGGTTGAACTAATTTACATTCCCACCAACAGTGTAGGAGGGTTCCCCTTTCTCCACAACCTCGCCAACATTTGTTGTTGTCTTTTGGATGGTGGTGATCCTTACTGGTGTGAGGTGCTATCTCATTGTGGTTTTAATTTGCATTTCTCTGATGAAAAGTGATATGGAGCATCTTTTCATGTGTGTGTTGGCCATCTGAATTTCTTCTTTAGAGAACTGTCTATTCAGCTTCTCTGCCCATTTTTTAATTGGATTATTTGATTTTTGTTTGTTGAGGTGCGTGAGTTCTTTATATATTTTGGACGTCAACCCTTTATCGGATCTGTCATTTATGAATATATTCTCCCATACTGTAGGATACCTTTTTGTTCTATTGATGGTGTCCTTTGCTGTACAGAAGCTTTTCAGCTTGATATAGTCCCACTTGTTCATTTTTGCTTTTGTTTCCCTTGCCCAGGGAGATATG